ACAGGGCTTTTGCAAATGCTAAGGGTTCAAGGTTCATTCCCACAGCAGTTAATTTGTCCCATCTTACAGGCCAGGGGCTGGCAAATGATGGCTGCCTCTCTGTTCAGCCCATGAGCTCAGAATGGCTTTACATTTTTTCTTTATTTAACTGCTAGAGGGTATGGGAGTTGGCCAGAGCGAAATGAGGGCAGGGAGGGGAGGGAAAAAAGCATTTCTTACAGGTATGGTCATGCCACAAGCCTCTCTCCTCCATTTCTCCATTGCGTTGGGATTCTGGGCATGCGCACATGTGCTCAGTATGTCTTTCAAGCTACCAGGTCGAGACTCAAACTGTGGTGTTCCACGGGATCTGGCTCCCTTAACCACTAGGCTATGGGTCAGCCTAGTTTTTATATTTTTTTAAATGGTTGGGTGGAGAAAACGAAGGACAATATTTCCTAACATGTGAAAATTAAAGGAAATTCAAATTTCAGTGTCAAGGAATAAAATTTTATGGAACAGACATGCCCATTCATTTACACAGTGTCTCGCTCTCTCTCTCTCTCTTGCTCTCTCTCTCGCTCGCTCGCTCTCTCTCTCTCGCACGCCCTGTAACAAAAAATAAAAATAAAGTTAAATAAATAAATTATTATTTTAAAAAAAAGGTTTGCTGGGAACCAGCAGTTAGCGTAATGGCTATGTCGCTGGACTCCCACGTAGTCGACCGTGGTTCATGTCCCGGACCCGGTGGCTTAAAATTCACGCTGGGCGCATGTGCATGCGTGCCCAAGATCCCAGGAGGAGAATGGAGAAGGGATTGTGGCATGACCATCCGCCCTGGGGGGGTGATTTCTCACTTTCTGTCTGTATGTCTCTCTCTGTCTGTCAAAAAAAAAAAAAAAAAAAAGGCTTGCTGACCCTATTACAAAGAATATAATCTCTCACAGCACAGAGATACTCTGTGAATGTATTCCATGAAGACAGTACACAGTTGGTTAACAGTGACATGACTGACAGGATTTTCTTATTAATAAACCTGTTACTTGTGCTCTTTTAAACTTAAGTTTTATATGGTGGTTTACTTACAGCCGTCTTATTTCCAAGTTGTGTAGCCATAAAAGAGAAAAATGTATGGGCTTTGTTAAACACAAAATACAACACACGTCAACACTACACAACCAAGGACACTAGTGACAGATAAAAGGGACTGGCATTGCGAGGTCCTTACCTGTCTGCCATTTGAGGTATTATAAAGTGCTGTCCATTTTTGTGATCTGAAACAGAAACCAAGTCAAAGTTTTGTTCATATCAACACTGGTAAGATCTGTAAGGAAACACCGCTGTTATTTCCTCAGTTTAGGTCTTGCCATGAATATTTTTACATAATTACAAGTCATGTGGGGGAACAGACATTGCCAGTAGTAAGGACCACATCCTTGTTTTCTCCTGGTGCAAGGGTACAGACATTATTAAGGAGAACAATGCTCACCACAATCTTTACCGTCAGTCCACCTCAGTATACCTGATGACCTGTAGCTATGGAAAGAGTACTTAGGGAGCTGAGTTAGCTCAGAGCAGGCTTCTACCAGCTTGCTGTGTGGGATGGTGGTGCTTCATGACCTTCAGTGGCTTGTTCAAATTAATCAACTGGTACAGAATAGTCAGGGCTCGGGCTGCGGCTGGTCTTTAAAGATCCAGACAGGACTCGCCCTGTCTCCTATGCTTACTGACTCAGTCCTAATCCAGCTTCTGGAGGACACTGATCTGCCTTCCAACAAAGTACCTATAAGTATTCACATATGGGGCTTTTGTGCAAAAGTCAGGCTATATTCCTCTTGGGTAAATACCTAAGACTGGTTCTGCTGGGTTATATGGCAAATACATGTTTATTTATTTATTTATTTATTTTTTAAAAGAGATTTTTTCCTATAGGGTGGGTGTGCTCACTAGAGAGACAGAAAGCAAGAAATCATGCCTGGGGGTATGGCCACGCTGCAATCCCTTCTCCTCCATTCTCCTTCTGGGACCTCGGGAATGCACACACACACACCCAGTGTGAGATTCAAGTCTCTAGGTCTGGGACTTGAACCGTGGTCAGTCATGTGGGAGTCAGCTATGTAACCATTAAACCATCTGCTGGTCCCAGTAAATACATGTTTAATATGGTAAAATACTTCTAGACTTTTCCCCTGAGTACTATATTATTTTATATTCTGACCAGCAGTACATAAAGATTATAGCTGCTCCATACTTTCACCGCACTTGTCAGTTTTGTTTTTAATTTGCCAGAGGACACGTGTGCTCACCAGAGACAGAGAAAGCAAGAAAGCACCCCCAGGGGCATAGTCATGTTCCCATCCATTCTCCTTCATTTCTCCCTCCTTTCAGGATTCTGGGTACACATACACATGTACCCGGCATTTTTAAGCCACCAGGTCCAGGACTTGAACTTTATAGTCAGTCATGTGAAATCCAGCTCATGTAACAACCAGGCCATGGGCTAACCCTTGTGGTTTATTTTTAAATAGTTATTCTGTGGTTTCTCATGGTGGCTTTTGTTTGTTTTTTAAAGTTTATTTTATTTATGCTAGCGTGTGTGAGAAAGAGAAGCACCCTTGACAGGGTCATGCCTGGATCCCCTCCCAGCCCATCAGGATCTTGGGCACATGTGAGTGGTATGTTTCAGGTTGACTGGGCTATGGAACCAAACCAAGGGTTGACCATGTGGTTTCCTACACTGCAGTCCAGGTTGCTATGCACTGTACCTTCTAGACTGAGCCTCACTGTGTTCTATTTTTTTTTGGAGAGGATTTTGCTATAAGGCACATGCGTTCACCAGAAAGACAGAGAGAAACAGAGAGACAGAAATTGAGAAATCAGTCCCTAGGGGGGATGGCCATGCCGCAATCCCTTCTCCTCCATTCTCCTCTTGGGATCTTGGGCACGCACACACACGCACCTGGCATAAGTTTAAGCTACCAGGTCTGGGACTCCAACTGCGGTCGACTATGTGGGAGTCCTGCAATGTAGCCATTATACCAACTGCTGGTCCCTCCTCACTGTGGTTTTAATTTGCATCTCCCTGAAGTCTAATGATACTGAACTTGTGATCGCATGAGTTTTTTTTTTTTTTTTTCTTTTTGCCATCTATATATTGTCTTTGCCCAGTATTTGTTGTTGTCTGTTGGGTTTTAAGAATTCTTTAAATATTCTAGATACAAGGCCTTTGTTGAATATATGATTTCCAAATATTCTCTCCTCGTCTGTGGTTTTTCATTCTCCTAACCATAATTTTCTCAGAACAAAAGTTTTTCAGTTTTGATGAAATCAGTATTTTCTTTTATGGATTGTATTTTTGGTGTTACAGCTAACCAATTTGATTCAACAAAGATTTTCTCCTGTGTTTTCTTCAAGTTCTACAGTTTCAGGTTTTATATGAAGATCTATGATCCATACTGAATTAAGTTTTGTATAAGTTGTAAAGTTTTGGTTCAAGTTCATTTTTCTATACACGGATGTTTATTTTCCCAGCATCATATGTTGAAAACACTAGTCTCTTTCCACTGAACTGTCTTTGTGAACATATCTGTGTGGTCTATTTCTGGATTTTCTGTCATTTCTATGTGCTAGTCTGTTGGCCAATACTACACTGTTTTGAGTAATGGAGAGCGTTATATTGGGTTGTTGGAAAAATCATGATGTATTTTTCTATGTAAAATGACTCAATAGTAAGTGTCCTTACTGATTTTGTATCTCCCAGTTCTATCATTAAAAGAGGGATGTGAGTCTCTAACAATAATTGTGTACTTGACCTTTTCTCTTTTCAGTTCTATCAAAATCTGCTCATGTAATTCTAAAGCTTTGTGTTAAGTGTATACATATTTAGAAGTGTTATATTTTTTCAGTTAACAAACTCTTTTCCACTCCTTTCTATCTCTGCTAATTTCCCTTGCTAGGAAGCCTATTTTGTTTGATATTAATAGCCACTATAGCTTCTTTCTATACAACAGTGGTGCAACTGAATCCACGTGGGACAGATCTTGGCTTCTTGAGTTCACATTCTGGGGCCCCATTTTTTTCTTTTTTAGGGAGAGATTTTTATTGTAAGGCTCATGTGCTTATTGGAGAGACACAGAGGCAGAAAACAAGAAATCACACCCCTGGTTGGATGGCCATGCCACAATCCCTTTTCCTCTGTTTTCCTCCTGGGATCTTGGGCATGCATGCACATGCGTCCTGCATGAGTTTCAGTCCACCAGGTCTGGGACTCAAACTGCAGCTGACTATAGGGAAATCCAGTAACATAGCCATTATGTCATCTGCTGGTCCCATCATGGGCTTCCCTAAGCACACTGCGATACCTGTATCTCTGTATAGGGTACATGTGCTCGTTGGAGAGACAGAGACAGAAAGTGAGAAATCACCCTCCGGGGGGATGGCCAAGCTGCAATCCCTTCTCCTTCGGCTTCCTCTTGGGGTTTTAGGCATGTTGCACATGTGCCCAGTGTGTTTCAAGCCACTGGGTCTAGCATTTGAACCACAGTCGGCCATGGGGGAGGTCCAGTGACGTATCACTATGCCATCTGCTAGTCCCAAGGTCTCTTTAATTACATTGTACAAGTAGGGTGGAGAATCACTGTATGTCTGTCTATGGATCTTACACATCAGGGGTGGACAAACTTTCTCTGTAAAAGGCTGACTGGAAAATATTGGGTTGTCGGAAAAGTCACGGTGCATTTTTGCATAGAAAAACACATCACTACTTTTCTGACAACCCAGTATTTTAAACTTTGTGGCCATCTGGCTTGTGTCACAACTTAACCTGCTGCTGCTGCTGCTGTGCATATGCAGATGTAAATGCGGGGGTGTGGCTACCTTGCAATGAAACTTTGCTTGATCAAATGGGTGGTGGGCAAGAATAGGCCCACAGATCATGATTTGCTGACCCCTGTTCCATATCACAAATAACTAAGCTGGCTAATGGTAAAGGTCACTTCTAGATGTTTCCTCATTCCTTAGAAAGCAAAATTCTTCGGGACCAACAGTTAGTGTAATGGCTATGCCATTTGACTCTCATGTAGTCGACCACAGTTCATGTCCCGGACCTGGTGGCTTAAAACTCATGCATGAGTGCCCAAGATCCCGAGAGGAGAATGGAGGAGAAGGGATTGCAGCGTGGCCATCCCCTCTGCGGGGCAATTTCTCGCTTTCTGTCTCTGTTTCTCTGTCTGCCTGGCGAGTGCATGCCCCACAGAAAAAACCCCCCACAAACAAAAAAAAAAAAAAAAAGTAAAAAAGGAAGCAGAATTCTTCAAATGAACCACAAAAGTTATTGTTTTGCTCTTCCAGTGTCTAGTCCCCTGTTGTTCACAGGCTATGGCATACATTCAATTCTGGGTTAGTTACATGCTCTGATTCTTGAAGCACTTAATTCTCTAGAGCTAAAATAGTTCTGGGGACCAGCAGGTGGCGTGGTGGTTAAGGGTGGACTCCCACATGGCCAACCACGGTTCGAGTCTCGGACCTGGTGGCTTGCTTTTTCTTTTTCTCTCTCTGTCTCTTTGGTCAAATTTAAATAAATAAATAAATAAATAAATAAATAAAGTGAAATAAAATAATTCTTAAAAAATTTTTAGAAAAAAATAGTTTTGAAAATTAAAAATTCTATCAACTCTGTATCTCTTACATGTAACTGAAAACTCTACAGTTATCATTTCAAATAAAACCCCTTATTCACAATTTTCTCAAGGACATGTTAATACAGAGGCGGTAATAAAAAAGAAGAGTCCCAACTTGTTTTTTTCCAGAACCTTCCTGACTGGCGGCGAGGAGCTGTTATCTGTTCACTCACCTGGTTTCCTGCCACAGAGATAGAAGGCTAGTCTGTCAGTCAGCTCATACTGGATTTCTACAAGGCGTTCGGCCAGTTCATGGTGCCCTCCTTGCCTACCAAGAGAACAGAAAGTACCATTTATACTGCTCATTGTTCGCTGGTCTTAGGAAAGAAAAGTACAAAGATGTCTCTTGAGATACCTGAGTTTATAAACATGACTTTTCAGACTACTCACCCTTTTTGTGTGAGGTAAAATGTCAGTCTACTTTTTTTTTTGTGAGATAGTCAAAGTCTTACCTTTATAAACTGTTTCCACCATGTGAATTAATCCCTTGCCTTAATTAATATACAAAACAGAATGCTTACTGAGGAACTCAAGGCCAGCCCCATAGCACAGTGGTTAAGCACTATGCTTTGGGAGTTGGACCCTACATGGCTGACCACAGTTCGAAGAGCAGCCCTGGGGGGTTGAAACACATGCTGGGTATACAGGCACGTGTTCCCAAAATCCTGATGAGAGGAAGAAGCATTACGACACGACCATGCCCCACTGGGGATGCTTTCTCTCTCCCTTGTCTCTTTTTCTAGAAAGTATATGTGTCCTCTAGTAATTTAAAAAAAAAAAAGGAATTCAAAGACTTACAAGAGGGATTAAAAAAAAACTTCAGGGCTAGCAGGTGGTTAAGGTGCTGGATTCCTACATGGCCAATCATGGTTCGAGTCCCAGAACTAAGGGCGTGAAAAGCATGCTGGGTACATGCATATACAGAATCCTGAGAAAATGGAGAACAAGAGATTGTAGCGTGGCCATCCCTCCTGAGGGATGAGTTCTCACTTTCCCTCTTTGTCTCTCTCTGTCTCTGTAGTAAGTGCATAAACCCTATGGAAAAGCATAAATATATGTATATATACACACACACTTCATTTGGGTCAGCTAGTGGCGTGGTGGTTAAGGTGGCTGGATCCTACATGGCTGACTGTGCAGTTTGAGCTCCTGACCTGATGACTTGAAAAACATGCCAGGTGCATGTGCATGTGTGCCCAAACTCCTAAGAGGAGAATGGCGAAGGGGCTGCAGTATGACCGTATGACCATTCCCCTGGGGGATGCTTTCTCACCACCCACAACCCCAGTCTCTATCCAATGAGTGCATGCCCCCTATAGCAAATAATTAAAAAAAAAAAAAAAGAGGGGCCAGCAGGTGGCATAGTGATTAAGGTGCCGGATTCTCACGTGGCCAACTGCAGTTTGACTCCTGGACCTGGCAGCTTAAAACTCACACCAGGTGGTACATGCACTCAAAATCCCAAGAGGGGAATGAAGAAGGGATTGCAGCATGACTAACCCCCTGGGGGTGATTTCTCATTTTCCCTTTCCACTGTCTCTGTCTGAACCCTGAGGCAAAAACCAACCAAACAAAACCAAACCAAAAAACACTTTAAAAAAAAAAACAAAACAAACAACTTCATTTGAGGAGAAAAAATAAAATTAATAAATGGTTTAGGATAGAGGGTCTCAAAAATCTGAACTAGACTATTTCCAGAAATATACAATGTCCAAGCCCCACTCTTAAAAATTCTGAATCAGTAAGGATGGGATGGGGCCAGCCTAGATACAGATATTTCCTTTCCTAGTATGGATGATTCTGACGCAGATATTCTGACTCTGGATGCGAGTTTACAAACCACTTTAAGGGTTTTGATGCAGGGAGAGATGAAATAATCTAATGCATAGCTCCTACCTGCAGCTCCTTTCGCCTCTTTAATTTCTGTAACAGAAAATATTATGAAGTTTGTGGAACCAGAAGATGGCGTAATGGTTACATGGCTGGACTCTCATGTAGTCAACTGTGGTTTGAGTCCTGGATCCAGCGGCTTAAAACTCATACTGGGCGTATGTGCGTATGTGACCAAAATCCCGAGAGGGAAATGGAGGAAAAGGGATTGTGGCGTGAACATCTCCCCTTGGGGGTGATTTCTTGCTTTCTGTCTCTCCATCAAGTGCACGAGTCCTATAGCAAAAATCTCTCTCTCAAAAAAAAAAAAAACAAGGAAAATACTAAGTTTGCTTTTCTTTGTTCATGAAATAAACATTGAAGTTGGTTGGAACACTTTCAGTAAGAAGGCATATAAATAAGTTATTACGTGGCGAGGCTATTATACTCAAGGTCCAAATGAGGAAATTCCAAAGTAAATGAGGAAATTCCAAAGTGCTCTTCCTCTTCAAACATCCAGCTGAGGGCTAGCGGGTGGCACAGCAGTAAGGACATGCACAATCCCCTGTGCCGCTAGACTCACATGTGAGGTCCCGGGTCCAAGTTCCAAGGCCTTCTCATGCATGCCAGGCACACGTATGTGGCAGCCACATGGACATGCCCATCATTTGGGCTGGCTGGGGCTGGGAGTGGATCAGAGCGTGAACACCCTGTTCGGATTTTTTTTTTTTTTTTTGCTTCTCTCATTAGGAAGAATAAGTAAAATAAACTTAAGAATATATATATATATCCAGTCTCATTTCAGTCAGTTTCTCTTCCCACCATTTAAGGCGCTACAAAATACCCTGCATCTTACTACACATCTAAAGTGAGAAATCCACCCCCCCCGCAGGGGGGAATGGCCATGCTGCAATCCCTTCTCTTCCATTCTCCTCTCGGGATCTTGGGCACACACATGCACCCAGCGTGAGTTTAAGCCGCCGGGTCCGGGACTCGAACTGTGGTTGACTCTGTGGGAGTTCAGCGACATAGCTATTATGCTAACTGCTGGTCCCCGTCTTTGATTTTTAATTTGCTATGGAGTGAGTGTGCTCACCAGAAAGCGAGAAAGGGAAAGTGAGAAAGTACCCCCCCCATGGAGGATGGTCACACTGCAATCCCTTCTCCTATTCTCCTCTTAGCATTTTGGGCACACGTGCACATGCAGCCAGTGTGTCTCTAAAGCCACAGGGTGGAGCGCCCAAACAGCTCAGTCACCCTGTGGGATCCAGCCGCCTCGACCACCGTGCTACCCACCTGGGCCCTTTTTTTTTCATTTTTAAAACTTCTGTGAATCAGGAAATATCCTGCAATTGATGGTACACCATAATTTAACTGGTCAAGCTTTTCCTCTTTTTCAGTGCTATATGACATAACAATGCACTGCACAGTGTAGTCTGAGATCCAATGAGACACTGAGCTGCTGTTACTCCGACACTATTCTCTCCAGCCGTGTCTGCTGGGTTCACCATGTCTTGTCCACCCTTCCCTTCCCTCTTAGGGGTTCTGGACTCACGCCTTTCCTCTCTCTTGGAATGCCTGACCGTCTCCTTCACACATCCAAATCCAACTTGGTCTTCGAAGACCAACTGCAGGGATTTCTTAATGATTTAGGCCACAGTGAAGAACCCTGCACATGCTACTTAAAACCGATCATCCATTGTGGTAGTGAATCACTTTATCTTGCCTCATTTAACACTTTTACACATCTCCAAATCATCTCTTCCAAGAGATGATAAGTTCTGGGAGGGCAGAGTTTTGTTATTTCACCCGTTTTATCTTCTAAAGAGCAGAGTATGGTACTTAACAGTTAAAAAAGGTAATTTGGAAAGAGAAGAAAAGATGAGTAATCTTCGATCATTTAAGTGATATTGAAGACTGATGTGTAAATTTGCTTATTTTTTCCATCAATTCATCATTAAAATGTTCAAGTAAAAAAAAATTTAAAAGACTTACAGTGAGCACCCAGATGGCCACTACCTAAAATTTGTAATTAAGGGAACCAGCAGTTAGCGTAATGGCTATGTCGCTGGACTCCCACGTAGTCGACTGCGGTTCATGTCCTGGACCCGGTGGCTTAAAACTCACGCCGGGCGCGTGTGCGTGCGTGCCCAAGATCCCGAGAGGAGAATGGAGGAGAAGGGATTGCGGCGTGACCATCCCCCCTGGGGGGTGATTTCTCGCTTTCTGTCTCTATGTCTCTCTCTGTCTGTCTGGCGAGCGCACGCACCCTACAGTGAAAATCTCTCCAAAAAAAAAAAAAAATTTGTAATTAACATTTTACTATATTTGTTTAATAATACAGTAGGCCATAGATTTAAGTTCAAGCAATAATTAAGAGTACTAAAAAAAAAATGGAAGAGCG